GAGAGAGAGAGAGAGAGAGAGAGAGAGAGAGAGAGAGAGAGACGAGTCTGAATGAAGAAGATGAGACGTGTGGGTTGGAAGGCTAGCAGTTTCCTGTGGTTGGTTTGGACCACTGGTGTAATCTGTGGGGTGAATGTTTGGCAGAGGTTGAGGGAGCACTGTGTACTCCTGGGCAGCATTGATGGAACTCTCTTTTGGTGCAGATGGTGTAATGGAGCATCTGGTTCTGCAGGATCTTCTCTCCCTCCCTCCCTCTGTGATACTCTCTTTGACCCCCACAGTGACTTTGGGGGGTACCGAGAACAGTGAGTCAGGTTATCTGGAGTGAGATTGCTGGGGAAGGACATTGGAGAGACTAAGGACCCCTTTTCTTCAGGGCAGTGTGTCCTTTGCTGCAGCTCCTTTCATCCCTAACGGGATTCGGACCAAACGGCTGTCCGGGCGTCCCTACATTCCCTGCAGCTCGGGAGCTGTGCTTAGTCTCTTTGTGCTGAGCATGGAGATGTTGGCACTACCCAGCTTTTTTCCTTTCTCCCCTCTCCTCAAGCCAGGAATGCAGCCAAGAAAACGTAGTCCTTCCAGCATGTTGGTTTGAGTCGGCTGAGTGCCCTTGGCTCCTAACTAGCTTGGAGGATCGTGCGAGACCTTGGCACGGCTGGTATGTACGCAGGAATGTTTGCTGGCATGCAGCACGGTTGCTGATGCTAAAGAGTGGTTAATAAGGGAATGTGCATGGCAGACAGAGGTATCTGTCTACAAGGGATTTCTGGGAGCTTGTTTAGGGTGGTGTGTGTTGGCCTGGCAATAGGAAATGGGGAGCACCTTTGCTTTGGAAGTGCAGAGAAGAAGCCTCAGTGCTGCTTATTGGAGCATCTCAAAGCAATCATTGACCCAAACATCCCAACTGCCAGGTTTAATTAGACCCACTGTGTGTTGCTGAGGAAACCAGAGACAGGAGGGCATGCGGTGTTGCAAGGCTACCAAGGGATAGTAATGGGAATAGGTTTACGCCTTGCTCCATTGTCATCCTTTATGCTCTAGCCCATTGACTGCAGTGACTACTAGAACTGGATGTAGAAACTAGAGATTCTGGCACCTGGGGAGTTAATTTTGATCCTAGTCTCCACTTGGGCATCAGTTGTAGTCCTGGAAAGTGTGAAAAAATTTAAGCATTTGTCTTCAGTTGGTGGGCCAGGACCCACCACTTAACATGAGCTAAGATGGGTTGCAACAGGAGCTGCACACACATATAGTGAGAAAGGAAGACATTTATCCGCAGGGGCATGTTTGGTTTAAAGGTGGGGTCATAGCTCTGAAAGATTGATCTACAGTGTCCTGGAGCATGAGCTGAGTTTCCTTCTTTCTTGACTGAAACTGCCCTAGTAGCTCCTATACACCTAGAACTGAGAGCAGGAGGGGTTTTTAATGTAGTGCATAGGCAAGCTTGAATCCTGGCATCTTCCATAAAATTAAAGTTACTAGCTCTGTTTCATGTTCTCTTGTTGCTCTACCTACTAAGTTCCATTTCCTTGCTAGAGTTACTTTTAAAAGTTAGGAATTGCTTTACAACTTTTTTGTCCATACTTGCTGGACTTTACTACAAATATTGTATTTTATGTCTGTTTTATGGACTGTTGTAAACCACCCAAAGAGCTTCAGCTGTGGGGTAGTATAGAAAGTAAATAAAATACTTGAGAAATATAACCCTAATTTAGCTCCTAGCTGCTGTCTCAAAACAACAACAGCAACAATACCAAAATACTCATGGTGTTTTTATATATAGACTATAATATGAAATGTTACTTGGCATTAAACCCAGCACTGTCCATATGCTACAGTTTTTAACACAAGTGATTTCACATGTCCTTGCCCCACCCGCAACTGCTGCCACACCACTTTCTGACTGTGCTGAGTTCTGAGAATTTATTCCATATCTCCTAGATTAGAGATGGGTAAAAGGCAGATCCCCAGTTATTTTGGACTTCAGCTCCCAGAAGCCCCTGACAGAATACTGACAGTTGGCATTCAAAACATCTGGGGATCTAATTTCTGTTTACCCTTAGAACCTTGAAGATGACTGAAACAAAAGGGATGCTAAACTCTGTGCATGAGTGTCTGTCTTGGCTGACTGAACTAATTAGTTCTTATGCTGGGATTATATTTTCTTTGGGTCCTTAGTACTGAAGCACACCAAGAGGACCAATTATTACTGCATCATAGAATAATGAAAGTCAAAATGTGCAAAAACATTTTTTCTTGGAGGTTGTTTTTGCCCCCCTCCCCCAGCTATGGTAAAGTCAGGTGTAACTTCTTAAGTACAGTCAGGCTGGTTTGAACATACCTGAACAGCTTTAAAAGCACAGCTATATTTGAATGTTCTGGAGTGAGATCTGAAAAAACCAAAGTTCTACCATTTTGGAGTAGGGGCGTGAGGAGACTGGCCTATTGGCTAGCACCCATCTCATATCTTCGGAGCAGTTTTTTAACTGTTGTGAGTTTTTCAGGGGAAAGGTAAGATGAAGAATGAACACATATGGAAAAACAATCCATGTAAGCAGGTTTAAAATGCAATTTTCTTTTTCTGAAAGGCAGACAGTCTTTATTTAGTACTAAGGGAGAAGTGAGAGAGATTGCTGATCCAGTATATATCTTACTCATAGGTAAAGCACAATTGCAGAGTTGGGTTTGTGCTGCAGGGGCAGCATCAGCTGTGAATACTGCTAAAATGCTGTGCCTATCTTCATCTCTGTATGCTTTTCCCCAGGAAACTACTTGACAATTTAAAACAAGCTTGGGGAACATGTGGTCCTCCTGGATGTTGTTGGACTGCAACTTCTGTCAACCCGTCAGCTAAAACTGATGGTAGTTGCCATGCATCTGGAGTGCTAGATGTTCCCCACCCCAATTTAAAGCATGAAAATAATAGTGTGATCTAATTTGGTTTCCCAGCTTACTCCAAAGTAGACCATATTTTTTCAATTTTGTCATTGGAAACTCAGGCAACAGTAAGGAGGATGCCTAGTTTCTTTTCCAAGTAAATATTTGTCAGTCAGGGGCCTTCAGACTTCGGCTTCCATCATTCTCAGCACAGGCAATTGTCAGGAATGCTGGAAGTTGTAGTTTGAAACATCTGGAAGACACCAGGTTGGGAAAAGCTGGATGATGCAATTTATGGTTTCTGCACATTCTCATCTGAAAGGGAAGGTTTCCTTTAACAGTAGTTCTGTGCCTCAAAAAAAAAAAAAGTGCACCAACAAATTCCAGACTCAACTAATGAACTTAATGCAGACTTCATTTTGTATAGCACTCCTCCCAAACTCCAGCTTCTGCTCTGGTACGGTAAAGCCACAGATATGCTGAATGAACATATTGTTGTCTCCAATTCAGAGGTTTCTGGCTTTCTTTCCCAGCTTTGTGGCTAGCTTCACAGACTTCATATGGAGTTAGTTTTCTGCTCTTAAGAGCTGGGAAGAGACCATGCACCCAATAGATCGGACGTCTAAGAAAGTCAAAGCTGATACCTAGAAATGTGAACACTTTGAAGAACTGTGCTTAAAAGGTTGATGCTGCTCCTACCCCCCTCCCCATTAGAATGGTGGTGTGTGTCCTTGCATGCCAGTCCTTCTTGAGAGCAAGAGACCCATCAACATTGACCTTCACAAGGGTGACATAGTGACTGTTGTGCTGGGTTTAGTTCCGGTTGATCTGGATTTAAATCCCAGTTCAACTGTAAAGCTTACTGGTTGGCATCAGGACAGTTACCAGTATGGGGGATCTACTGCTCTGAGCATGAAGGAGGCTTTATTTTTTAAAGCCTTAAAAGTTTAAACCAATCTTTGGAAATGCCAGTTAGATCTAGACAACTAACAGATGGCATTAAGCAAAATCTGTTTTGTTAGCGGCAATGGCCCGCATGCAAGTGCTGCTCAAGCTTGGCGCTGGGGTGCGTGATTCTTGGGTTTACTCCTTACCCTTGCCAGTTAAAGCAGCCTCCCCCAAACTGGTGCTTTCCAGATGTTTGCGCTACAACTCCCATAAGTTTGAGCCAGCATTACCACAGATCAGGAATGATGGGACAAGTAGTCCAACACATATGGGGAGGACTCCAGGAGAAGGAAGGGTGAGTTTGAAGGCTCTGAGGTAGCCAGACTTAGGGTTTGAACCTGTGTGTCCAAACTCCTCAGAGAGAAGGCCCACAATTGCAGAAAAAACAAGAAGCTGGCTGTCTGGCCCTATCTGCCCGCCCACCCGTCTTTCTCTCTTTGCTTTCGTGGTAATTGCTACATAGAAGCTTACAAAGGGAGAATGGCCAAAGGCAAGTTTTTGGTGGAAGAACATGGAGAAATCCTAGTGCTAAAAATACTACTTTGTAGCTTTCTGTACATGCTGTTCTCCTTCCTGAGTTGAATGTGCCTCTTTAAGGCAACAATTCCTCATTGGGTGTATTGGCTCTTAAGTCCATTTTTGTTCTCCGTGAAAGTAATTTCTGGCATTTTTATAACTGGTTTGGCTTGACTTGGCTTGGCTTTCAGGTAAAAATAACGAAGGAAGGCTTGGAGATTTGGCCTGGTGTAGTGTCCACCACCGGATCCTTAGGAAAAGGTAAGGGAAAGGCTGATACAGAGCTAGGTGGAGATATTTCATTGTCTCAGACAGAAAGCATAGTGAGACCCATCCCCATGAATGTGCATGAGGCACCTTCCATTAGGAAGCTCTCTTGAGCAATCCTCATTGAAATAAACACAAAGCATGCAAGAGTTCCTACTTATATATTTATATACCACTTCCCATTTAAAAATCCAGAAGTGGTTTACAGAAGATTAGAAAACAATGCATTATGATAAAAGTAGAACAACAAAATGGTTGGGAAAAGCCATGGGAAGCAAGTATGCTTCTTGACAGCATATGATCATGGATGCCTGATACATTGCAGAGGTGAGGTCACTGCAGAGGGAAGATGCCACCACAGAGAAGGCCTTGTTGCTGTACTGCTGCTAAATGGGTCTCTCAGGATGTAGCATGGACAGCAAGGTGTCCCCCTGAAGTTCGTAGTGGTTTAATAGTGTATATAGGAGGAGATGATATTTCAGATAAGATAATCCCAACTTATTTAGGACTAAACAGGGTGTCCCCAAAAAATTGACATTATTCGTATTCTAATAACATAGCCAATGATGTCAAATTTTTTGGGACACCCCATGTATGTCAATTAAAATAATGTTCTGAATCTGGTTTGGTATCAAACTACTTGCACAAGAAAACTTTAGCTTGTGGTCAAATCTGGTTTCTACCTGCTTCACTTTCCCTTATGGTAGGCCTCCCTTTGGGTTGATTCAAGATGGGTACACCGAGACTTACAAGCTGTGTCTTTTATGTAGAATAATGTGTCTTTTATGTAGAATAATGTAATTCAGGATGTGAGCGGAAGGTGAATTCGGTTTTCATTTGCCATGAGGCAAAGTGCCAGATCTCTGAATGATTTATTTATATTGTTGTAATGTTCTGTCAAGTCGTCTCCAACTTATGGTGACCCTATGTATGAAAGCTCTTCAAAATGTCCAATCCATAACAGCCTTGTTCGCTTTTGTAAATTCAAATAAATGTCTCTAGATGTTTTAGAGTAATAAATTTGCAGTAGATTACCAAGGATTTCTGACTCCCAGCTGTTTAACTGTAGCAACAACTGTTCTTTCTTTCCCAGATTAAACTGCTGAAACAAAGAAAGCTGGGTGGGGAACTGGGAGAGAAAGGGAATGGTAGGAAGGCTTTTTTTGGTGGAAGGACAGTGAGTTCAGCTGCAGCACTGAAAACATTCTTGGCCTGTTCCTTTAAGAGTCTGTCTACCTTTGCTTCTAAGATACTGTTTTGCATTTAGATCCAAGTGGTGGATTCTAGAAACAAGCAAAGTAGATCCTGCAAGCATGAAGTCTCCCCTGCTGTATCTGACACAGCTGCTTGGATGGTGAACTGGCAGGCTCTTTAAATGAGCCTGAGTTCAATTAGTTTAGCTCTATAAGCCAGGATCAGGGATTCAGTTGAAGAGCTGCATGGATTGTGAACTCTCTCTCTCTCTGTAGGAAAATTAAGCAGGGGCTTGAGTGATGCTGCAAATATGAGCATATGATGCTGCCATCTGTTGAGTCAAGCTGCCTGTTGGTTCATGTGTTCTGACAGGCAGCAGTTCTTCAAAGTCTCCAGAAGAGGTCCTTCCCATCCTCTACTACCCAAAATTATTTTAATTGGAGAGTTGCTAGTTAGGACATGTGCTCCATCATGGAGCTGAGGCTTTCAGTCTGGTTGGCTCCAACTGAAAAGTTTAGTGCTGTTTCTAAGCACTGAAAGTATATTCTGTTTGGTGGAGTGCTTTCACTGGGCACGTAGGAAATGAGGCACTGTAAACAGCAAAGATTTGAAGTTTCTCTTGGGGAAACAGTGTGGTCATCTTCAAGTTCCCTTTGAACCATTCTCAGCAGAATGGAATGGGCCAGATTCTCAGTCCTCTGGCATATGGTTCTTTGCCCAGTTCTTACCTCTGGAGTCATGAGATCGAGCAGCTCCATCTCTGTTGGCTGCTTAAGCAAAAGACTCTGAATTAGGAAGATGGGAACATCTGGTAGAATAGGAGAGGGTTTTACTCTCTGTGCTGCTTGGTTGGGACACTGCATGTGCAGCCTGTGTAAGAAGAACCAAGCTGTTCAGAGGACAAGCCAGGTAAAAGTGGGACATATACCAATAATTAATTGGCACTGTTTTTCCTCTATTCTGCTTCTGTAACATGCAGCAGAGGCTGTGATGTCTTTGAGTGCTTCAAGGCAGGGCTTTTGTAGTGCAATCACCTTGCCTTGTTCGTGGAATTTTAGGGTGGGTTGTGCATGTGTGCTCCATATCATGTCCTTTATTTGTATCCCGAGTGTGTTTTCTCACTGCCTTTCCTCTTTCCCCCTTAACATGGAATGGTTGCACAGTGCCTTCTGGCTGATAGTGCTAGAACCTCTCCAGCTGGAACCACTTTTTGTCAGCTTTGTGACAGGAGGAAACTCAACAGAAGCAAATTTTCCTACCTGGAGATACATTGATGGGGAAAGCTGTGTCTGTCCCATCTCTGAAAGGCAACAACCCTCCATCCAAAAATGTCTCTCAATTCTTTGGTTGTTGCCAAGTGCCTTTTCTCTAGAAGGCATACTGGTGGCATTGTTGGAGCTAGTGGTGGATGCCCTTCCTCCAGCTTGGGATTTGCTGGTATACCTGTTGCTGTGAAAGGGAGCATGGTTATTGGCATATTCTTAGTCTGGGGAGAGAGTAGGTGATCACTGTCCTTTCTGTGTCTACAGGAAATGATGTCTGAAACTAAGCTGCAGGGTGAGATGAAGCCAGAAGGGGGCAGCAGTGAGCCGTCGACAACCCCAGAACTTCTTCAGCGACTCCGAGAGCTCGAGGTACCAGATCTGGTCCTGTCCAGGGAGTGTGACTCTTTCCTCAGAAAAAAATAGAGACTTGCAGATTGGGGACCTGAAAGAAACAATGTCTTGATTTAGGTTAAAGGAGCAGAAATTGCCCAGATGACACACCTGCTGGGGGAGGGGCAAGCCTTCAACCGAGTTGACTGGAAACCCACAAAACCAAACCAGTTTTTCTGACCCTCTGCTGCTGTGAGGCAGCAGCTTCTAGCCCCAGGCCTCTCAGCCTGAAGGCATTCATTTCTCAGTATGCTCTGTGCAGAAGGTGTGGGGACTGTAGAAACAGCCTGGTGGAGCAGATAGGTCTGGGCTGCTTGAGCAGGCCTGAGCATCCCTATCATATCTCCTCCCAATATGGCATGCATAGGGGCCCTTTGCATGAGCAACGAGCTGGACTTGTGACTGGGGATGTGCTCTGAGCCTGTGGAGAGCTGCTGCTGCTTTTTGAAGGGCACTTGCTGGCCAAGGCTGTTACCTTGGATCCCTTGGTGCTCTTCATATGGATACGAGCTTAACTCTTGCCTTTCCAGTTCAGCAGTGATCCCTAACCTGGTGCCCTCTAGTTATGCTGGGCACAGGTTGGAGAAGGCAGTGGGAGGCCTTTCCCAAAGGGCAAGGGCGCTGAGGCAGTGCAGGGAAGGGGAAGGGGAATCCAGGTCTCCGTGGTTCCTCTTCCTGCACCTCCTGGACCCTTCCCTCACATGCTGTCTGATTCTTTTCTACATCCTCAGGCGGAGAATTTGGCTTTGGCACAAGCCAATGAGAACCAGCGAGAGACATATGAGCGCTGCCTGGATGAGGTACTGCCTTCTCTTTGTTTGGTTGGGCCATTCTTTCAAGGTCCTGCCTATCCTCATCATTATTTATGATTATTTTATTTATCTACTACTCAATAGCTGAAGTTCTTTGGGCAGTATAGAAACATCCTGAAGATTTTTTTTAACTCATACTTGCTCTTTGCCACTCTGCAGGTGGCCAATCATGTGGTGCAGGCGCTGTTAAACCAAAAGGTGAGCATCCATCCTGGGCCAGGCATCAGTGGGGAAGTGGGAAAAAAGGCTGTTGGCAGAAACTCCCTGCTTTTAAATCACTGGCCAATCAGTGTGGACTCCTATATAATTATGATGGAATCTCCGTGGAAAATAAATCGGTTAGATAGCAATCTGTGCTCCCTTACCAGGAAGAAGGTCCATGGAACTGCGTGGGAGTTATTACTGAGTAAAAATGTATAAGATCATCTATTTAGTCCACTCCCTTTTTCTTTGTAGAATTTCTCCTAAGGCAATTTATTCTTCCATATGCCGTATGTCACTACCTTGTGCCAGAAATACACTGTAGTTGCCCTCACTTTGATTCTCCCTTATATTTAACCCAGACTTTCTCAAGCTGATGCTGGCCAGATTATTTGGGCTGCTGCTCCCAGGGATGATGGTAGTCATATAAATCATCTGGAGGCTGCTTGAGCTATTGGCTCACTTCTGCTTATGGGGGAGCAGTTAATCCCATGGTGCCATGCTGAAAGGTGGCAACAAGATGCATGAAAAGCAGATGATGCACAAACTCCTGTCACTCTTTCCCAAGTATCTTTTCTTATCTAAAAATATTTAATGTTTACATTGCATTTTAGAGCATTCCAAAGGTTTCACATACATTCTCAGTCATCTTCAGAGCAGCCTATTATTGCCTTCTATTATAGGATAGGGGACCCTCCATGAGAACTAGCAGTTTGTTTAAGAGTTCCAAGTAAGTTTACAACAGAAGGATCTGTTGGACATCCTTATTCACTGCTCCATTGCTTAACATAGAATGTTTGTGGCTGCCTGGTGACACTTAAAGCTTGCCACAGCCCCAAGTGGTGCTTTTTTGGAAGCAGCCTTTTGCTGAACCCTACCTCTGATCCCTTTGTTCAAGCTTACTGTCTGCACTGCCTGGCAGTAACTCTCTAGGGTTTCAAGCAGGACTTTTTCCCAGCCCTGATGAAACAGATCTGGGACCTTTTGCTTGCAAAGCATGTGCTCTAATCACAGTGTTACAGTTTTGCTAGATGATCATAGGATAGGTTGGTGTCCCACTTCCAATTCTGGAAAAGAGTTCCAAGGTTGGAGCTGGGACTCTGGCCATGGAATACCATCCCTGCTGACTGCAGCTCCAAAGTTGCAACTGTGACTTGAGAAGCCAGATGGGCCATTTCAGGAGGCAGAGAGGAAGGAGGGAGGTTCCACTGTTCTTCCTGTGAGTAGGGGGGAAAGACAGAAAGCTGAAAGCCAAGTTTTTTGCAGGGTGAGGGAAATGTGGAGGCAGCGCTCATCCCCAAGCTTCTCCCATCCTCAATTGGATGGATGCCTGTGATCCTCTAACTTTGGAGGTTTATGGACAGCCACATGGGATGCTGCCCCGCCTGCCAAAAGACAGCCTAGTAGAAACGTCTCTGACTAGTGGTGGGAGGAGACCAGGGGTGGACCCAGGCTGGCCTGTCTTGACAGTGAGTTCCTGAGCCTGGGAACAGCCAAGCAAGGAATGGTCAGGGTAGTATAGCTGCTCTTTGACACAGGCTTGGATGGTGCAACCCAGCAATACCAGCTGTTTTCTCAGGACCTCCGTGAAGAATGCATCAAGCTGAAAAAGCGGGTCTTTGACCTTGAGCGTCAAAACCAGGCCCTCAGTGATCTCTTCCATCAGAAACTGACTTCTGGCTCTCTCTCCCAGGTAGGTCCATCTGCCTCTCTTTTTGTCTGCTCAGCTGTACTCCTCTGGGCAACTCCTCTGCTTTCTTGCCTGTATAGCCACTTTGCCCTTGCAACTCAGCTCGTTGATCCTGGGTATGTCCTTTGCGTAAGTTGTATGGGGCCTTCCCTGATCATTTATTATGCTGTCCCCAAATACTTTCCTGTTTAGAGCTAATTACAACAACTTAACTACTTACCCACTCCATAACAGTTTTAATTGGAAAAGACCTCAAGTCATTTGGGAATTCAACATGGGGCCCTTTTCTAACATCCAAGCATGCTCAGGCACACACGTGCAGATGGTGCCAAGGGAGGGGCTTCCCTGTGGCATCATGGCAGCTCATTGGGGAATATATGGGAATCTGCTAATCCAAGTGGGCAGGATCCATTCCCATTCATGGGTTAGGGTCAGCCTTCCTCAACTTGGTGACTTGCAGGTAGGTTGGGCTTCATTTCCCAGCGTGGCTGGTTGGGAGTTGCTGAGAGATGTAGCTTAACCCAAGGTTGCTGATAGCTGGGTTTGGGCACTCAGCAGGGTACTGATGCGGTGTGAATGTGTTTCTTTTCCATTCATACATACTTCCAAGCAGTGTGGGTTGCACACGGGGGTGAGGGGGGAGAATGGCCCCCATCTTTGTGTGCACTCACTCATGTAGAGGGTTCATGGGCTCAGCTGCATCTGGTGGCTGAGGCCATTTTTGGTGTTAATTCTTTCCCCAGCTCTCATCCCATCCCACTTCCTTGCTTTTGGACCCATCCTCCCAGCCAGGTATGGTAGAGAAGCTCCCAGCTGCCTTTCCCCTGGGACGCTGCATCTTGCAGAGAGAGGTATGTCCTGCCTGCCTTCCCGCTACCCAGCCCTGGATTAGCTGCAAGGACTGAGTGCCCGATGCCCCTTTCTCCTCTGCCCACTCAGCTTCATAGATGCATTATGTTGTTTTAGCTGCTCAAAGAGTGTAGGTGTATGTTTCTTGGCACAGGGCCCAGAGCCATTTATTGCTGCATTGCTGTTCATCTCCACACTCTGTATCCTGTAGGAACAGCTGATGTCCCAAGGTGCCAGGCTCTGCATCTCTTGCTGAGTGGTGAGAGTTTTGGACATGGCCCAGTTTTTTCAAAGAAGGATCACTGTCACAGCTTCAAAAGAAAACACTGGGCTTTCCCCATCCCATTTGTGGGATGGTCTTTTAGCAGTGGTGCGCCGAACAGTCAAGAAAGTGTTCTAGTTAGCAGGCATAGGGAAGGAGGGGGAAGGCAGGACAATCTCCTTAGCACTCAAAGCTGGAAGGCGAAAGCAGTTCATGCAGGGCTGGGCTTTAGATAGACCTGTGGAACAGAAGGCAAGGATAAAAATGCGTGGGGCTCCAAAGGGCACCCGAGCTGCTGAGGTAGGCCCCATTGCACCTGGTGGGTTCCTGCTTAGCTCAGAATTCATGTCTCATGGATGATGGAGCCACGGTGGTTGGCTGCATGGCTTGCCTGGGGAGGGAGCATGCTCGGTAGCACAGTGCCTGCTTTGGTGACCCAGCGTCCTGGGTTGATCCCGGGGGTCTCCGGTTAAAAGGCTTTTTGGGTGGGAAGGCCCTGTTCTGCCTGCAGATCAGAGGAGATGGTGGTGGGCTGGATTGACAAAAAGGGAGACCCAGTCCAAGGTAGTTTTCTGTGGTTTGCTATAGTAAAGTCTGGCACAGAGACAGAAGTTGTATGTGTGTGTTGGGCTACAAAACCCAGAGGCTTTTTCCAATTGTCCGTTCTCTCCCCCTCTCTCTCCACCCACCCCCAACTCTCCTCAGGTTATCTCAGAGGAGCAATATGTTGGCACTCCTGGGCCCAGCCCCCAGGCCTTGGAGGCTCTCTCCCCATTTCTGCGCAAGAAGGCCCAGATTCTGGAGGTGCTTCGCTCTTTGGAAGAGATGGACCCCTTACTCGCCTTTCCTTCTCCTTGGCGAGACCCTGGGCAACCTGGTTCTCCAGAAGGGGTGACAGCAGAAGCCTGGCCATGCCTGCTCCTGGCACAGGGGGAAGGTCTGCCCAGGCAGCGTCCCCTGAAAGGGGAGGGCAGCTCTTCCTCCTCTTCAGATGAAGCTGGCGAAGCCGATCCCCCGGAGAAAGGGCACCCTGGGCAGGTGCTGCTGAGTGCTTTGGCCGAGCGCAAGTTGGACTTGGGTGATGTGGAGACTTACCTTCAGCAAGTCCTGCGGGAGGCAGGTGACAGTGCCCTGCTGAACGGGGAGCCCAGTGGGCCCTGCTTGATGGATGGCAGTGAGAGCCAGGTCAGCAGCTACAAGCACATCCAGGCTGTCAGTTGCCTGGAGGCCCTGGGCCCACCCTCTGCCTGCAGGGAGACCGCCTACCTGAGTGTCCTGGCACCAGGCGAAGGCAAGGACAAGTCTCGGCCAGGCCCGCCCATTCCCTCTCCCTCCAAGGTGCTCAAGTTGCTGAAGATGCCACCACCTCCCAGTCCAGCCGCCTTGCGGCTCAGTCCCCAGCTCACCCGCAGCTCAAAAATCCCGTGCCGCAGCAACACTTACGAGGTGTACCACTCTCCCACGCCCAGCCGCAAGGGCTCCCCTGACAGTCCCTTCCCCACTGACTCCAGCCTTGCTGGGGGCCATCCCTCCCCTAAGGCTGGCCGGCATCTAGCTCCTCTGCCCCCCAAAGTCACACCCACCTCCCCAGATCCTTTCAGCTACCACAAGCCTCACGACTACGAGAACATCTTGGAGCTCTCCCTCAGCAGTGCCATCGGCTCCCATCCGCACTCTCCCCGAGACACCAAGCTAGATGGGTCCGAAGCACTTCCCCCTGCCTGCCGCTCAGCACCCCCTCGGGTGGTGCCAGCCAGCGAGGTCTCCCTGGAGCCCTGCCCTTTTGTGGGTGGCCGGGAGAAGGCAGGCCCGGAAAGCAAGTACTCCCCGCCTCTCATTCGCCGGAATACTGACAACTCCAAGAGGGCTGGCAACGGCCCGAGCAAGCGGACCCCCGAGGTGGCCAACATGCCCTTCAAAGAGCGGCTCACTGTGCTGGGGAGACTGAAGGGAACGGAGGGGAAGGAGTCAGCCAGCTTTGAGAAGGGGAGAGCTCCCGCCCGGCCCTGCGAGCGCCCCGAGGGCCTAGGTGAGGCCCACCCCCGGCTGGGCACAGGGAGCAGCAGCCTCAAGCACCAGGAGCCATGCCATGGCAGTGAACCTGCACCTCGGTGCTACTCTTCTCACTCTGTTGGCTCCCGTGGGAATGACCCTGAGCACCATATCTCCAAGAGCCGTCTGTTGGGGACCCCAGCCACAAGGAATCCCACCAAGCCCCCACCACCTGGGAAGCATGCCAAGAGCCCTCATGGCAGTCCCACCAAATTACCTTCCAAATCCCCCACAAAGCCCCCTGCCCAGGAGCCTAAGCCATGCCTACCACCAGCCAAAACGCCCACCAGTGCTGGGCGCAAGAACCCACCTTGCCTGGACCCAACCAAGGGCAAAGCAGGGCCTCCAGCCAGCATCGAAGAGAAGGTGATGAAAGGCATTGAGGAGAATGTTTTGCGGAGGCATAAAGGAGGCCTGGCAGCTGGTGAGGCGAAGCAGAAAAATTCGAGCAGCCTAGCCAGCTGGTTTGGCCTGCGCAAGAGCAAGCTGCCTGCCCTCAGCCGGAGGCCAGAGGCCCCCAAAGGCAAGGAAGGGAAATTGGTCTCCCGCAGGCTGGAGGCTGAGAGCCTCAACATTTCCAAACTCATGGAGAAAGCAGAGGATCTGCGGAAAGCACTGGAGGAAGAGAAGGCCTACATCAATGGGCTGGCTCTGGACAAGCCCCGACCCCATGCCTGTGACCCCGGCCACAGCCAGCTCACCCTCATGTACCAGGAAGTGACTGCCGAGAACTTCATGCAGCAGCTGCTCAACCGGTAGGTTCTTGAGGGGGGGAATGGGCGGGCTGGCATCTGCCCAGGCGTTCTTAAGGAACTCAAGAAAGAAAACGAAAGACAGAAAGAGCAGTACTGTGGTTAGACAGTTGTCAGCATTTTGGCCCAATCAGCCCCAAGATGCAAATATGTGTAGAAATGAGGGAACTGGGGGGCAGGCCCTGGGGCAATGGAAGAAGAGTGAAGCTTGTTGGTGACGAGCAAGTAGCTGTGCAGAGCACTGGGTCTCTCTTACTTGAGTACTAGAAGCTCTGCTCATCCTACTTCCTAAGCTCTAAGCCTCAGCGGATGTGCCACATAGCTTCTGAGCTGCTTTTCGCATTCATGAGGACTAGAAATCCCCCCTTACCCACTCATTTTGTAAAATGACTGCGATTCTTGGCATACCAAATTCTTAGTTTCTGTGTTGGTGTGGCAAGCCACCAGGATCCAGAGGGCTAGTTGAGCAAGGGAGAGTAGCTGTGGGCCTGTGGGCAAGGATTCCCGGGTTTTGCCACGAGGGGTTTGATGAGGGAACGTGGGTGATGGTGGGCTTGGGGGAAGCTAGGCTTCATGGATTGTGCTTTGAGCCTTGACAGCCCTTTGCCATCTAGAGAGGTTCAGGGAGAAGAGAAGGGAAAAGGAAGGAAGGCTTGATCATCCTTGTCCCTGGTCTGCTGCAGGGTGGATGGGAAAGAGGCCCCATTTGAGACTCACTTGGAGCAGAAGAATGACCTGCAGGGCCTGCAGCGAGGCCTGCATGATGCCAAAGATCCCCGCCTCCTCCGGCCTCCACGCAATGGCATTGTTGGGCACCTTCATGCCTGCCCAGAGGCACCCGCCAAGGTGAGTTGGACTCGGCTGCCACCAGATTCACCCTGGTATTCTTCACAGTCGGTGAGTCCCTGTGGCCCATGTCCACAACCGCTTTCAAGGTCCTCGCTTACCCATCTCCCTGTTTGCCCTGCAGCTTCGCGATGCAACTTTGCAAGAGGAGAATCCATCTGATGACAGCCTGGCTGAGTCAGTGACCTCCCAGCACTTTGCAGGTGAGCTTTATGGCAGAGATGGGGAACCTCAGGCCTGTGGGGCAAATCTGGCCTGCTTGGGATTACAGTCCAGCCCTCCAAGGGTCCTCAGATGGCTGTGTCTCCTTCCCCTGCCCCACACCATTTCACCCAAACACTGGTGCTTTCCTAGCCTTTGTGCAGATTTTCTGTATTCTCAGTGATAGAAGTGCCTCTCCTAAGGTTTAAATACAGGCAGTGGGAACAAAAAGCCAAAATGTGGTATTTTTTCGTCCCTCCCTCTTTATCTTTGGCCCTGCCCCCCTTTGCTTCAGCCCATCACTGCAGTGTACCCCCCCAGGAACTTCTCTGAAATTGAAATTTGCCCTTGAATGGACGGAGGTTCCCCACCCCTACTTCTTGGTGTTTGTAGCTGAGTGGATGAATTGTAGAGGGCAGCCATGGTTCATTCAGAAGAGCCAGACTTGACCTGTGCACAGCCCAGCAGATTGCGGGCCCGATGGTGCTTTTTTGACGAGGGGAATGCATGCTGGTAGGAGCCTTACGTGTCCTATTTCTATCCCATTGGTGTACTTGCTAAAGGATGCAATGACTCCTGCTTGTTCTGCACAAGGAGATCCAAGTGAGATAAAAGTCCAAATGGGCAAATTCCCACAATTCTTTGCACACTTCCATAAATTGTACTCTGTCTGCACACAGGAAAGAAAAGCCATAAAGAATTGCTTCCCAGAGAGGTAATACATGGCTTTTATGTGCTTAAGAATAACCTCCTGCAGAGATTTCAAGAACAGGAACTTAAATCGTTTAGGAATAGATTTGATTGTATTCCAAAAGAAATCTGTCAGCTTAAAGGTGTCTTCCAAAGGAGGATTTTATTTATCCAGTCATCCTGCCTCACTCCTGGAATATTACAGGGGTTCCAGATGTTACTGTCTTCTACCTGTAAACATTCTGTATTTCCCATCGTTTCCATCTTATTCCTTACCAGAAACTAACCATTCAACAAAAATAACTGGACAGTCTTTTGATTGATAGGGTTAGGAGTCCTCTGTCTGGAAGCATCCTATATCTAGTTTTGGTGTTGTGGTTTAATCACTCTGTTTTTTTTCCAAATTTTGCATTTGCTTTTAATTCACATGTTTGTTGTCCTTATTTAAGGCAGCTTGGGTCAAGCCAGGGCTTCCAGGGTTCCCTATCAGAGGGTTGCATATCCTGTGGACCCCAACCCCCATCAAGCTTGACCATTGACCATGCTGACTGGGTTGGTGGGGAGTACAAAGACATCTAGTTGGCCAGAGGTTCTTCCACCCTTGTTTTATACCAGGTGGTATAGAGCCTCAGGTGTGGGGGATAAACACAGCCCTCTGTGTTTCCCAGAAGGCCATGCCCATTTCCTGGTTATACCCCTTTCTGCCAAGCACTGATCATTTGATGGTGCCCTGGCTTTGGGGTAATTTGTCCCCATCCTAAACAGTTGAAATGCTTTTCCTAAGGCTTAGTTATAGGTATGAAGGGCTTTCAGCTAAGATATGCTGCTCTTTGCTATACTTGGAGGCCTGTCCCTTCGGCCTTTGGCTCCTCCCATCTCTGGAACATATCCCTGAGAGCATCTCCAGAATGGGGCTTGGTGCCCCTAATTTGCGCTGTTGAGAAGTTGAGGAGACAGGAAGGCCTTTAAGCCTTGATGACTCACCCCTCAGCACTGCTTCTGCTCTTGCCCACAGTGTGTAGCTCTCTGACGCGGACTCTGGACAGCGGCATTGGCACCTTCCCTCCACCTGACTACTGCAGCGGGATGCCCTGTAAGAGTGTGCCTAAGCTGAGGCCGCGACTTGATCCTCCACCAGCTGGACCCTTCCCAGCGCGGGGCCCCCCGCCTGTTACCAGGGTGCCCCGCAAAGCCCGGACGCTGGAGAGGGAGGTGCCCAGCACAGAGGACCTGCTGGGGCCTAGCAAGCACCAAAGCATGCCAGCTTTCCATGGGGTCTTAACCAGTGCCGAGCCAACCTCCGGGCATCGTGATCACAGGGGCTGTCCAGAAGGTTTGTACCTTTGGAAAGGAGTTTTCAATAGGAAATGTTTAGCCCAAGCAGGTTAGAACTATTGGAGTGCTGTTGGAAGTATGACTACCCACCTCTTCCAGATGCAGATGTTCTGATAATACCATGATATTGCCAAAGGAGGATTCCAGTCATGTTTTTCCATGGATAAAAGGGTGCTTTGTCCATGCTTCTTAGTTGTTCAGGTTGTGTTGTCACAATTTGAAGTCAGGTCTAATGATTATAATATTGCGAAGCTGCCTTTAGTGCCTATAGAGGCAAGAGGCTCTGGGGCTAGTTCTGGATGAAGGAATCACATCCGATAAATGCTGAAAGTTCCTCCCTGAAAGAGCTTTCTCATTTTCAAGTATTCATCATTCCCTGCATTCATGCAAACATTTTTTTGGGAGGGGTGTACTTGTGAGGCCTTAGAAACCTTACATTTTCATTACAGATATATTCAGAAGCAGGTGCATGAAGGCGGAAATAGTTTGAGAATTAAAATGCCGCAGAAGACAGCTCTCTCTCTCTCTCATTCCCCTTATCTTGGGCCTGTGTTATTTCACACCATGCCCTTAGGGTTCAGGAGAAGTTGGCTTCCCAGCTCTCCATCTCTGTCTTCCTCTCACAGACCTCTGCAATGAGCCCAGCAAGCCGCGACACACCCAGCAGAGCAAGAACTGGACTTTCCCCAACGCCAAAGCATCTGCTGGCACCGATCCCTTCCTCTGTTCCCCTCATGGGCTGGAGGGGCTTCACACTTCGGCAATGGTAGAGTGGGCCTGATGGGAGCAATGCATGCTGGGGCTGGGGGGGAGAGGCCCTAGTGGGGCCTTTGCTGCCTGTTGCCATGGCAACAGGGCCAGCTCTCTTTCCAGCAGCCCTCTGTACACCAGGTTTTGTGCGGCAAAGGCCTGGCTTTGCGAGCGCCCCCCGCGGCTTGCAATATAATCCACAGCAGCAGGCAGTGGGGAAAATCATGAACAGGGTGAATTTGTGATTATATTTAGGAACCTGACTGGAATATCAGTTTCCTTGAGAAGGGAACCATCCTGTGTCAGGTATCCTTACAAAACCATGCAGTCAAGGATGGTACATGGAGCAGAGGGGACAGGAATAATCCTATTTATGAGTAGGACCCAGCGACAGCTCCATTTTCACGCTGCTACAAGCTTTGCCCTTGCAGCAGCATGAAAATTCAGGATAAAATCCACTGCTTTACTTGTAATGTTATTTCTTGTGGTTACTTCTAGACTCACAAGAACTAGGTGTTACTGAAGTGGCAGGAGTGGGGTCTTGCAGTCTAAAAATAGTGGTTGGGGAAGAGTCATCCCTGGTTTCTTGTGCTGGCCAAGTTATCTCTCTCCATGGCCTGCTACAACGTGACAGAATACACTTTTCTTCTCCTGCTGATCATAGCTTGGTTGACTGAGGGAAAGAGGAGATGGGACATGTGGAAGCTGTATTGAACATTTTATTTTTCTAACTGTTTTAAACCTGGGAATGTTTCTTATTGAGCTGATTATTAATAAGTAACTTGGCCAAAGTTATCATCTTTCCCCAACTCCTGGCCCAAGGCACAAAATGGGCTCCCCAAAGCAAGTAGGGACTTAGCCTTCCATCTGTCAGTTAGACTTGTGCTGGATGGCAAGGAAGGAACAATGTAGGGTGTCCCAAGAGGAGAACAGTCAGGCCCTGTCATGCAAGTGAGGAGCCTGTTTCTGATGATGTCCGGGTTGACTGAAACGGTGTGGCCCTGACTGACACTTTGTTTTACTGCCCTCTCCTTATCCCAAGAAGCTTTCTCTAACCACAGATCTATAAAACCGTGCTTGAGATGGGTGTGGCTTCCCCGTTACCTGAAATCCATGATTATGTGAAGGAGTGCTGCATATGCCACATATGCAGGCCATTCCCTCAGCAACAGCTAGGCCTCAGCTGCTGCAGTGCCACATTCAGGAATGGCCAAAATGGGGTGGCAGTGAGCAACCAAGGAGTAGCTGTTGCGGCCTCTCTGAGGCAGTTCTTCAGAGCAGTAAGAGCGCTAAGCTACTGTGTGCTGGTGTTCTTTGTGCCACCCTCCTTGCCTTTGGCCCTGCGGAGCATTGGAATGTTGCCTCCGAGCGCCGCGAATGTGGCCCTCGGGATGAAAGCAGTTCCCTGCTCTGGCCCTCAGTCGTTCTGTGTCTCTATCTCTGCAGGGTTCAGCTTGCAGTGTTGCTGAAAGGAGACGGACCTCCTCAGATGGGCCTCAGCCCTCGCCAGCCTTCAGCACCAGCAGCAGCCGTACCCCCAGTGCTTCCGACATGGGTGAGGAGGGCAGCACAGAGGCCCGTTCCAGGGATATGGGGCCTGAGGGGCAGCAGGGCCTGGAGAACTCTGAGTCTCTCAGCGACTCGCTCTATGACAGCTTGTCCTCCTGTGGGAGCCAGGGCTGAGCATGGCGGGGTGGGGGGGCACTGGTTTCCTTGGCTGGCACTGTCACCTGCTTTTGCCTGGGGCTTCATAGTGCCCAGCACTTGTCTGCAGGGTCCTCACTCAGTTCTCCCAAACCAAATCGTGGCTCTGCACCAGAACACAATGCGTCTTCCACACCCCACGTTCCTGTCTGTCCCCAAGCAGGGAAATGGGACTTGTGAACTAGGGCACCAGGAGGCTTTGACTGTCGAGGGAAGAGAATGGAGTGGGTGGGGCAGGAGCCAGCCATGTGCATTCCCTCCTTCAGAATGGCATCAGGCACTCGTAGCCAGGGGCTCACCCACCCTGTGTGTTAACAGTGGGGTGGCCCTTTGGTTGAAGCCCCAGGGATGGTGGGGCTCTGTCCTGCCTTACCAATTCACTGGCCAGCTTGGTAGAATCATAAATTCATTGTGAGAAGTCGGAGTTAAGGTATACTGTGGAATCCTTTCAAGGACAGCTGGTCTCTGATGCTGAGCATCCCTCTGCAACTTCCACCAGCCAAGTATTTTCTCCCTGACTTCCACTTTGCAGGGATGTAAAAGTTGCTGAGTGGTTATGCTCTTGAGTGTCCCTCTATGGGGAAGAATATCACATACTTACAATTGTAAAAGCGGTCCCTGTTACCTCATTGGCTGTGCACAATCTTGCATAAACATATCACCTAAGCCCTTTCCACCTCTTGATGCTTGAGGAGCATGTGAGACATTGCCAAATCTAGGATTTCCTTCCACTGGGGCAGAGGAGTTGGGGGCGCCTTCAGTCCCTCCTTTTCAAGAATCTGGGTGCTGGAGTGTACCAAACAATGTTAGGGAGTATTGTAGGGCCAGCAAGATTGTGCCTCCACCTCCCTCTTGTTGCAGTATCTCAGTATTACTTTGGTTCACTTCTCTACTCCCAGTTCCTCCTCTTCCCCATTATCCAAATCCGGTTGAAGCAACTGTCTGGGAGGCATTTCAATGGGAACCTCGTACCCCTGCGACTTGGAGCTACTGTGGGTCCAGGAAGGCTTGCTGGCTCCCACACGCTCCGCCCCTTCCATGTATCTTTTTTTTAATGTTAAGTTATTAATGTTGCTGTTCTAATTTTCACACAGTCAAGTCATTTCTCTCTTTTTCCTGGTTCTATGGGAGCCTTGTTGCTCCCCCAGATGGTGCTATTTTGCTGTATACAAGCCCCTCTCCTAATGAGTCTTCCTTTTTGTTGTCCTTTTTTTACTTTGACTTTTTAAAATGTTAAAATGTCTTTTGCTCTTCTTATTTATATAAGTTATTGTGCAATGAGGCTGTTTATTGTCTTGAAAATAAAGGGGGTTAAACACAATGTGAAAGTTTCCGGTTGGATTGGATGTGGGGCGTCTGGGGATTCACTGGCTCTACATGGTTCTGCATGAAACCTTGTTTCTTGTTAACTGGTTGATACTCTGGGTTGCGCTAAGGCAATGTGTTTCTGTAACTTGCCCGTGGGGGGTGCAGAGGATCATGCTAAAACTCAAAATGAAGCATGTTTTCTCAAACTGCTCCCTGCAGAATACAGAGGCCTCCTCTTGCAACTGAGCCCAGTTAATGCAGACTTCTCCTGTTTCCCCAGGCCCTTTCAGGGCTGTCCGCTTTTTGAGCGATAGGGATGCTCCTAGTTTTTTCCGGTGCCTGCTGGCTGTCGTGCAGGTGACACCAGCAGGATTCTAGTGAGGTCTCTTGCCGTGAGATGATACTGCTGCCCACAGGTGGGTAGACAGAGCTGGTTGGGAAGTGGCTGCACTGGGCCATCCTCTTCCTTTCACATTTGCATAAAGAGGTATCTTCACTCTCTTGACATTCCTCAGTATCTCTCTCAGTATGTATATTGAAAATTGATGGATTTCCGAAAGGATGAAAAAGGCAAGCCCCACCACTGTGGCCTGTCTCAGGTGGGAAACCAGTGGCCCTCCAGTTGTTTGAACCTCCAACTCCCATCAACCTCCATCTGTATAGCCAATGGTATTGCCTGACAGGAGTTGTAGACCACTGGATGGCCAGAAATTGCCCACCCCTGGTATTGTCATGAGAGTGATACACCTCTCTGACCTGAGATCGTGCAGATGATAAAACTAGGGCAGGGTTAGGCAAACTGGTGTGCTTCTGATGCTTTGGAATTCGGCTCCCAGAATCCCTATTTGCCATGCTGACTGGGACTAATAGAAATTATAGCCCAAAAGATCTGGCATGTAGCAAGTTGCCTATCACTCCTGCATGAGGGTCTCTCTGGCCAAATGTGCTTACTGGAAATAATGAGCTTGTCTGCTTTTAAGCTCCTGAGCCCAGGGGGGTATTTCTTCCAGTGCCTTGCGTGTTGCTGGCAGAGATAGAGCAACTGCAGACATTTAAGAGAAGGAAGTCCTGCCCTGCCTGTGAAGCACTTAACGTAAGTCCTGAAACGTTTGCTTCTAGTGAGGGCAGCTGACAAGGGGATCTGTTTAGTGATATCATTTCAGTTGTTATGCTGGTGCGATTGTAACAGCTCCATCTTCTTCTGCCTGCCTGACACCCTCTAGTGACCAGGGTTGGGAGTAGCAGCAGCCTGCATCACACAGTCCTTGTATCACCATCCAGTGCCTGGGAGGTAGGTTTCAAGTTGTGTACGTGGACCTGTGCTAATCTGCAGGAGATTTCCTGCTGGTCTGGGGCAGGGGTGCATCCCACTTGCTGCAGTGCTCCACCATCTCTTCCTCGGTTGGCATCACGTTCACAGGGGGTGCACCAGTGCCGTGGGGTGGGCAGCAATGGGAGAGACAGTTTGGTGGGAGTCTGCTGCACCAGTTTTAGTATTTTGTTCTTTTGTTGGCATTCTCTTTGCTTGGTTTCTGGTTGTTTGGGAGAATTTTCATTTTTGTGGTATTTTTGTTTGGAAACTAATACAGAATACTGTATTATGTGCATGGTGCTTTTTGTTTCTGCCTCAGCGGTCCCCAAGGTGGTTCTCCTGTTTTCGCCAGTCCCCAACTGTGGGAAGGTTGAAAACCACTGCTTTCGACCACTGCTTTCACGCAATACTCCCAGTCTGATAGCAGTAGACTGGAGCCAAGCTGAGTGTTGTAGGCCTATGTTGATCTGGAATCTTCCCTACCATGCTATGATTTCACATCTGCAAGCATGCCACCTATTAATAACTTTCACAGACAACTGCAGCCTTACACACAGCCTGCCTCACTTGTCCTATGCACTCAGAAACCACTGCAGTATTTCTTCCTGCTGCAAGAAGCTTTGTTACCATTTCTAATATCCAGTCTGTCTTGGATGGGTAGGAACTAGAGAATTGGAGACGAGGGCATGATGACCATAGTGGACATTTCCTAAATGTATCCAGAGCAAGGAACCAGGATGGCAAAGGACCTGGCAACCTAAGTCCTAGATGGAACAGATGTAAAAGCAGGTTACACTTAACCTGGAAGGAAGGGTCTTCAGGATCTAAAGGACTATCAGCAGATTTTTTTTCTCCGCTGCTCCAGAGAGCAGGACTAGATAGAACCAATGGGTGGAAATTGCAAGTAATGAGATGTCAGGGAAATATGAGAACCCTCTAAGCAGGAGCAGCTGTTTGGTAGTCCAACAGACTGCCCCAGAAAGTGATGTGCTCTGCTGGCCTGGTCTGGTTGTAATTGGGCTGAGGCTAGATAGCCGTATCTCTGAAAGGTGGTCGCTGCATCCTGCACTGACCTCTGTCTCCCTGTGACATCTGAATCATGGATCAGTGCCTAGATCCTGTGATATGCTGGATGCACACCAATGAACTGATGCTGCATCCTGGTAAGGCGGCAGCTCTGTGGGTGACTGGCAGCTGAAGAGAGCTTGTGCTTGCACTTTTTCCAATTTTTAAGATTCGTTAATAGCCTGGGGGTACTCCTAGTTCCATATCTGTCCCTGGAGGCCCAAGTGGCCCTTGTGACAGGTTTGACTAGCGTGCTGGCTACACCATCACTTGATTGGGACAATTTGGTCACAGTGAAACAGAAACCCTCCTTGGTTCGGCAACTACTTTGCTTCCATATTGAAGAGGCATTCCTCTTCCTGTCTTTTGGGATGTTGAGAATCTTGAAGATATTTCTTGGGCGACAGGACTTCCGTGCTTGTGTAAGGTGGCGGCTGAGGGTATGCACACTCACGGTACCAAGCCTAGAAGCCCTGGCTAGGTCCTCCAGGTGGCTTTTCTGAAAATTCCAGCAGTAGAGCTGTGGCTGGAGCAGGATGGGAGAAAATAGTGGAAGAGCATCCTCTGCACCTCACCTCCTAACAGTAACATAAGCCCTGATGACCTAGATCCTTGTTCTCACTCCTCTGCACCATTTTCAGGCTGCAGTTTCTCTTCATCCCTCTTCCCACAAAGGGTCAAAAACAGATTGCGTTGTGGTCCTATTGTATGAATTTACTCTCATTTTCATGCTAGCTCAAGAGTAGCAGAACCCCTCTGTGTCTCAACCTCTCTCCTGATAATTAAACAGGAATTAACATGTTTACCTGTAACTACAAGAGGGGACATTTACTTCTACAGGTCTAGATTGAAGGATGCAGCATAAGCTTATCACCAGGCAAATCTATACTGAAGATACAGGATGGGTAGAAGATGAATTGTTTTCACAGAAGTAGCACTCATTAGAAACAGCTATTGTGGGAAAACCACACCAACGCTGCATTGCTATCCTTGCTGCTCCCCACCCCTTCTAATGTATCAGAGAAAAAAATATTTGTAAAAGTCCAACTCATGTCTGTTTACAGCAGGGGTTGGCAACTTCCAGCCCTCCAATGTGTTTGCCTAGAATTCCCATGTTCCCTTATTATTGGTTATGCTGCTTAGAGAGCAAGAAATGTCACATTATTCTTCAACTGTACTCTTTTACCTGTAGGAAGTTCTTTAAATGTTCTTCCTGATGCTTTTATGAATTCCACCAAGATTTGTTCAATGATTGAGCAAAGATGTTAAGTGAACAAAGATGAATCCAGGAAAAGTGAACAGAGAGCTTGCATTATAGCAGCAATAAGAAGTGCACCAAGATTGGAATTTTAAAAAATGCTCCATTGGAAAAGCTGATTATACTGAGAATACGGATTTTTGGGGGCTGATGAGAATTATAGACCAAACCTTGAAGGCCACAAGTTACTCACGCCTGATTTAATATGGAGCTTATATTTTATTTTCTACATAATCAATATACCCCTCCTCTGCCAGACCTATTTAGTTTTTTTTTCACAGTACCATAGCTGCATATTGCCATTTCACCAAACAAATTTGTATCTCACACTAACACATAACTATTCTGGAAGGGCTAGAATTACAGTGCTTTTGTTTTAGGAAGGTAGCTAACTTAAGTCTGCTCCTGTCCCTTGTCATACTTAGAGGACACCCACTGAAATAATTGGAATAATATAATCATGACTAACTCAATTTCTAAAGAAGTCCCAGCTGACCAAATTTGTGTCCAGTTCACTATGTTCAGCATAGGGCTTTTACCACTTGCTTAACCAAAGCTCTTCAAAAACCAGGCTAGGAATTGTATGTGTACAATATGAAAGGCAATATTGCTAAGAACTAGTAACAGCTGTAACTTCAGCTTTTTTGTCCTGAAGAATGACAAAGGTAGTATTTTTAAAAGCTGGATTTCCACCATTCTCTCACATTAGGCTAGGCCCAAAAAAAATGGGACTGCCTCATCCTTACATGTGGTCTGCTTATGCAGAGTGGCTGTCTAGTTTTCCACTAACAGAATTGTACTTTCTTCCGTCTTAATGGGCAATATTATGCTTGGGGAAGACTGTGGATCCTTAGATGGTAGTAGGGTATTCCTCAGAGGCCAAAATGGCTAACTTCCTTAAAGGCTGGTTTAACCTACACCAGCAGGAGGCAACTTCACAGCATATTCAGTGAGGCCCTCAATAGTCTAACTCTTGTTCCAAGTTGCAGAGCCAGTTCACAAGTCCCAGAGCCCAAAAATTGCCCAGGAGCTCCATTCCGGGTAAGACAGAGTGCTGAAAGGCTTCTGGATTTGAAAGCCACGACTCACAAGCCTTTAAGCAGCAAGGCAGAGAAATAGCATCAATTTAATACAAAATAGGAAGTACAGAGTGCTGGCTAAAGTTTGAGGATTTTTATTTTTACTTTTTTCCCCGTACAAAGCAAGACAATGTAAATCTCATATTTGAATCAAAACACCATTTTTGTATGTTTAAAAACCCTGTCTTTCACAGTAGGCGTCTAAAGAATGCAGCCAGAGCTGGACATCCAACAAGTGACAGAGTTTAGTCGTTATATTAAAACCTGTTAGACAAGGTCTCTATATAAAGTAGATCTCTTGAAGTTTAGTTCTTGGCACTGGTTCCAAAGGGGGCAGAAGAGTTAAGAAAAAAATCCTTTATTCTCAAGCAAGCGGAGCTGGAGCCTGGCTTCAGGTGCTGAGAAGGGCAAGATAAACATTACCTGGTTTGCAGCAGAGAAAGCTTTGGAGCTTGTCCAAGGAACCATTTCGACACTGAGTGCACAGCTTCCACCCTGCCTCCGTATGAAGCAGCAGCTCCTCCCACTGCGTGACGGCCTGCTGGCTCCTCCCTCCCTCCCTCCAGCACATTCACCCAAGAACCCTTTCTCAGATGGTAACACTGGGACAGCAGCCACATGTGACTCTGCTGCCGCCTCTGCAGTGAGAGCTGAAGACCTTGGCAGGCCGTGCTGGCCTAGGTGCTCTGGCCCCTGAGCTCCAGCAAGCTACAGTGCTGGCTGCTTCTGCTCAGCAAATCCAACCACTAAGGTTCCAGGAGTAGGAATGCAATTATACCAGACTGGACATTCTGATGCCGACACCCAGCTCAAAAGACTGCTTACACAGCTGCAACTAACTGAAGGTGGGGGTCACTGGACAAGAATTTCTGACTTGCACCGCAAAGAAGATTTTTCTGCCTACCCAGTAGCAGGATGAAGGGCAGGCAGGAGCAGCAAGTGCTAGTCCTGGCCATCTCCCCAACCATCATGAGCCTATAACTAAGCCTCTTTTTGGTGATTTGCAGCTACAGTTTGCCTGGCAAGCTGCACAACCTTGCCGGAAGCAGCCTGAAGAGCCCACAGACCAATTCAAGGCAAGTGCTGCCCATGGCAATTTTGGGTTGGGCAGCAGATCCTCTCCCCAAGCAGCAAGATGTGAGCTGCTACCTGTTCCCACTCTGTGTGCCTGGAACACTGGGACAAGAGGAATGAAGAGGAGGAAGAGGAAGGGTCTCTCATAAGGAGAGATGTGCCAGTTATTGCCAACAGGAGAGGCCCAAGCAAAGCAGTCCTGATGGAAAGAAGGTGGGGATAGGGGTAGCACGTGTGTACAAAAGTTGGGCAAAGCCAGACTCCAGCATTAAGATCAGCCAGTTAGCTTTTTCCAAACGGCTCAAAGACCAAGAGAAAAAAAACCCAATTCCACAAAGTATGAAAGTATCACAGATGCTTCTCATTCACACAGAACAACCAGGATAAGGGGTGGGGAGGGGGGCACCTTTAATGCAGATCAAGTTGGATGGAAGCAGGTGAGGGGCAAAGGGGAGGGGTCACGAGAGAAAGAGGCGGCTCCACACAGGCATCCAGTGTGAGTTCACTTCTCTTTCTTCTTCTTGTTGCTCTGAAAGGAACAGACACAAACATCAGTATTCTGACTCCTGGGCACCAGACAAACTGTACAGCTGCCTGGACACAAAAGTCCACGCTAGGCAAGAAAGAACTGACTTCGACTACAAGGGTGCAGCCCCGACCTGTGGGGTGACAGACCACTACCGCAGCAACTCAACAGTTGCTTAGGGTTTGAAGAGGGCAGCAACTGAATACAGTCTGTCATCTCAAACACATTCCCTACAGTTCTTGTGGAGTCCTCCATCTTATCTCCTGATTTGAGAGCTCCCATCTCAGCTCCCCCTTCTCTTTGGCATCACTTTCAACTGAGATCTTGTGAATGTGAAGTGGATGATACATAGCCAGCACACATTTCTTCGTTGTTTAACTAAAATTTAACTAAAATCGTTGTTTAGCTAAAAATCTAAGGTCAAACAAAAATGACTAACCAATACATGCAAATGCACACACACACACACACCCACCCCCTCTGGCTGTAATCCTCTAATGTTACCCAGAGCAGTTTACTCAGCTCTTTTCTGGCTTCATTGAGACCAAATAAATCTATAATCCTTACCAACACTTTTCAGAAGTGAGAAACAAGCCTACCAAGGCCCATGAAGAAGTATCACTGGGCAGTAACCAAACTACAAGCAGCCATTATCAATTAGATAGAGTGATGGTGTTGAAAGCTGGATATGTAGAAGGCCACATTTCTGAATTTTTTTCAATGCCCTGCTTTTGCTTTCAATTACTATCATTCTTCAGGCTTTGCAATCAAGAAATGGACATTATGTTTGATCTTTTTCTCAGCCCACATTTCTGCCCTATTCTGTCAATTCCACTTGATTTTTCAAATTAGCATGTTTTTAAAAATACAGGTGACTAAATTTTCCATTCAGATTCCCATTTTCTCTTCCATTTGAGACTGTTTGGTTGCTCTTCCTAGCTTTCAGCATCTCTTCTTAGCATTTCTACTTGTTAAAAACTTATCTCTTCACACTTTAATAATAGACCACCTCCACATGCTTGTTTCCATTTACTGCTTTCCTTTATTGTTTTATACAGATTTACACTTCTGCTCTTAATCCAGTCTGATGATCCTGTTCTGTAGCTTCATTTGTTTTCTACAGTCCATTCAGACTCCAATCTTAGTAAACCTTCATTTCCTTGTGAGTGTTTTCATTTCCGTACTCTCTGTCATGGCCCTTTATTTGTGGTCTTTAACCGCTGCATCTCCTCCTCCTTCAAATAATGAAAACTTGTCTTCTTACATTTCCCTCTTGCTGTACTATCTGGCAGACACATGTACTGTGTTTTTTTCTCATTAATGCTTACCCTGTGTTTTCTAGCTTGAGCAAGGTTTCTCCTTTCTCTTAATCTTCTCTAACTCATACTTTTATACTGCAAACCTAAGGTCAGAGGCTAGCTTTTCTATTTCTGCACCACCTGTAGACCATAGTATGTTCCTAACAGATGACAGTGATGAGCTCAAGAGAACCTGGCAAGTTCTGTGCAAGACACCCCTCTAAAAGCTTCAGCAGAATGAACCCTTGTCCTGCTCAATTCTGGCACCTCTCCACTTTGGCAAGATTACAGGTGAAAGCCTCTACACAGAACTTCCCCTCCTGTTCACTCCTTGCTGATCACCTGAGACTGCTTAGCCATGGTCTTGTCTGGTCCACAGCAACAAGAGTCATTTTGAAGCACCCAGAGCAGGCAGGGGTGCCTTCATGAATGGCAACTCACCTCATTCATGCTCAAGATGACCATGAGCTCCCGGAAGATGTTGACAAAATCCAGGAAGAGATCCACGCAATGCCTGGCGGGGAGGAGAGAGAAGAGGGAGAGATCAAGCTCCAAGGCCAAAAGGCCAGGTGCCAAGCCAGGCTCTCAACCTAGCTGTTTTGAAGCAACATGATGCAGAGGGGCTTCTAATGCTGGAGACTATCTCCCCTCCCACCTCTGGGATTCTTCCTTACCTAAGATCACACTCCTCTGTTTAGCCCTGCTTCTTCCAGCAACGAGTATCTACATCTCCCTTCCTACAATTCAAGCCCTTTCATTTCTTGTCCAGCACTATACTCCTCAGCAACAGAAGTCCTTTGCCTTTTCATACACTGAGCCAAAGAAGCTACTCTTAAGTCCTGATGTCATCTTGCAGACCTTTCCCCATCTGTTGCTCAACTCCTTTTCACCTCCTATTGCACAGAGCAACTTGACACCCAGCTGTTTTACCATTTCTGCATACTCACCAGATGTAGTCCTTATCTCCATTCTCAGCCTTCTCAATGATGAGCTGAGTGTCAAATAGTACAAAGCCACACATAATCATAAGTCCGATGTAGAGATTAGCCTGGAGGTAAAAGGAAATAGATTAGCCAAGGACAGCCAAATCCAATTGCTCAAACTGGTTCCACCACCTGCTAAAGACAGAGAAACTCAGAAATCATGCTGCTTTAGCTTTTAGCTCCAGGGTATTCGGGGCTATCTTTCCTGCTGAATTTCCTAGGCAAAAAAATGGCACCGAGTTAGCATTCTGAGTTGCTGAAAGTCCAACCTTCTAGCATTTGCTCCTGAAAGTGTGCAGCCAGAAGGGTTGCCAAGGGTGCACTGCCCAGAACATAAAGTTTCAGAAGGCAGTTTAGCTCCTTGCCCCTTTCCCTGACTACCAAGAACAGAACTGTGCAAAGCAAGAAGCCAAGCAAATTTGCGCAGCCTGTACATGTCATGGCATTTGGGTTAGCCTGGCGCAGATCTGCCTTTTTATGCAGTGCACAGTTCATGCAGGCCCTGCATTTATTTATAATGAAACCAAAACAGCAGGAGGCTGGATATATCTTGACAGTCACCATGGCAGACTAGTTTGGGCCAGGCTTCCCAGCCCCGCCCTGAAAGGGGCAGCATTAAGATTTCCTGCAAGTAGACAGAGGCCAAGAACACAGAGCCACTCACTGTGAAGAGCCAGGACGAGCCCAGGAAAATGTTGACCAGGGAGAAGAGTAGCATCAGGAACAGGCCAGAGAACAGGACACCTGAAAAAGGGAAGCAGAATCATGAACAAAACAGGACACAGCACACACACACACTCAAAAGGAAGGGGAGATGGAGGGGAGAGAGACAAGATTGTCGCTTCTACTGAGCCTTACCTCCTAGGTACAGATAGGCACGACGCTTGGCAAAGAGGGCACTCAGGGAGAAGCAGCTAAAGATCACAGCTGTGCCCATGAAAGCAGTGGGGATGATGCTGTAGTAGGGAGAGAAAAGGCAAAGCAGGAGTGGTTGTACACTATCAAATTTAACTTGTGATTCCCTTTAGAGGTCCCAGCAAGACTCCACAGCGCCCATTCCTACACCTGGACATTCCTGAACCCTATTTGCGATTTGGAAGCTGGCACCTTTCTAAATTGAAGATGTTCTTTTGATTGGAAAGGGAGGCCGGGAGGTGGGAGGAGTTTGGCAAGTAGCAAGGCAGCTTAGATAGAAACAGATGCAGAATCCCATTCTTGGCTCCATTGTGAAATATTGCGAGAACAGAAATATATGCTTGATGCAAAGCTGATGGTGTAATTTAAAATTTAGCTAGAGTTGGCCTGCTTTCTGTAGCAAGACCACAGGTGCACTTTCTGACATTGGTTACTGGTGCTATTGGGTCACCACTGACAGGGCAGAGAATGGCAAGGAACAGGGCAGCTGGTGCTTCCTCTTACCTGGGGTTGATGGTAATGCACATCTCCAGCAGAGGGCCTAGGTTGACGCCTGGAAAATAAAGGGACGCAGCTTCAAAACCAGGTTTCTCATGTATGTGTACACACATGGGGTGGGGGAGGGATCTGGTCCGATACACGACTCGCATGTCCTTGGATTAAGACAGCTGCAGCTTACAGGTGTGCCTCTTTCATAAGCAGTTGTAAGAGATGTGGATCATATGTACACCATACAATGCAGAAGCAAGTTGGAAGTCATTAATCACAAGAGCAACTGACAACACAATCGTATGCAGATCTACTCGGAAGTGAGTCCCACTGAGTTCATGACTGGCAGGTAAGCGTGCCAAGAATCGTGGCCTAGGAGTCCTGTGTCGCTTTCAGTCAGGTCCATTACAGTCCTCCCTTTGGCAGCAGCCCGAGCTTCACTGTTCTAGTTGGCGGAGGACTTCGATCCCTTTCTTGTGCTCTTGTACACACACAGCTATGCATTACACAAGGGACCTCCCCTGTGAGACAAACTAAGAAGCTGCGTGTGGAAATTACAAAGCCGCACAAGCGTCCTCCCACACAGTTGCGCTGCCTGCACAGGTCAGGAGTGTTCACTGAATCAAGGAAAGCCACGCCTGCATGGCAGGAGATGAGGGCTCCAAGAGCGGCAGTGCGTTGCTCCTGGCCGTCCTACTCTGACATGAATAGAAACCGCTGCTCTGCTCCCTCCCCATACATCCGGCAACACATACCAGTGAGGAAGGCAAAGCCTGTCAGCATGCCCAGCCGTCTCTTTTCTGTTTCCTGGCTGTGGGGTGTGGCCATCAGCCAGATCATGAGGCCCAGCGCTCCCAGGCCAGTCAAGAGCCCAAACTGCAAGAAAAGGTGGGAAGGGTGGAAGTGAGCACAGGATTCTAAGCCATGGATGATGCCAGGTACATGGGAAGCTCTGTTCTCAGGATCTCCAGAAACTAGTAGAGCCAGGGCAAGCTGCCCTGCTCAGGGTATTTGAAGGCTCTTTTGGATTTCCAGTGCATTTCAAAGTTCACTTCTCAAGCTTTTCCCCGCTAGTTGACTTGTAAGGAAAAACATGGAAGTTGTCTTCCACCCAAAGGCTGTTAGCAGTGACACTCCCCCTCTGCACTATTCCTGCCAACAGGTGTCAAGACCAATGAACAAGACCAATCTGTAATGTTACGCTAATTTAACACAGAATAATCTAAAACCCCAAGAGTCAGACTTGCAGCACTCTTTTTTTTCCAATGGCGTATGATGGCTCCGTAGGTACAGATCACAAGAAAAAATTTGCTGTGGAAGTAGAAAAGCAGGAGCCAAATAATTACTCCAGTTGCAATTTTGAACACATTCCCTTGAAAATAAGCCCTATCAAACATAGCCAGGCTTACTTACAAGAAAGGATATGCAGGACTGCCCTGCCATTAAGGAGAGCCACCAGCCAGGATACGGCCTAGAAGAATGCACTCACTAGGATCCCGTACAGCTCACTGCTGCCAGCTGGGTTGAATGCAGTGCAACAATCCCACAAGCATTAGCCTCCAAAAAGTAAGGTGACCTCAAGCTCAGGCATCAGTCCCGGAGAAATACCAGAGTGCTCTTACCTGCACCAGCTGAGCAACCACATTGATGTAGGCACCGGCTGCTGCCAGGAACATGCACAGCGCAAAGCTAGCATAGACCTTCTTCAGGTGCTGTTGGGTTGATGCAGAGCTACAGGGGGCAAAGGAAGAAATGTAAGTCAACAGCCTTGTGTCACAAGCACCAAGAAGTGCAACAGTTTCCTGGCTGCCCTTTGGCAGCTCTGGACACTCTGCAAACTATGCAGAATAAGAAGTGATCTGCCATACAGCACTGTGGAGAAAACAAGCATCTCCCAGCACTATTCCCTGGAAATTTCCCACCTCAAAACCTTGGGGGTTGAGCCATCACTTTCTACTCAGAGTTGGAGTAAGACATGCTCCAGAATCAAGTGGATGGAAAAATCCCGGATGCCTGGTCACAGAGAAACAGAATGCTGATGCACAGGGATTGGTGACACCTTTTCTGCACTGCCCAGGACATGCTCCCAAGAACTGGGTACTAGTCATGGGCCATTTCACTCAGAACGGGGGAGCCGTGGGCCCTGCAGACCCCATGTGGACCTTAGATAACTTTTGAAATGCAGTTCTAGCAGGTTTTGCTTGAGAAACACAGACCTTAACAGGAAAAGGCTTTGCTACTCTTTTAAAAAAATGTTTTTCCAGCCCTGCAACTGGACCTCTGTACAGCCCCACATAAATGGGGGGATAAGCATGGCTCATGAAATACTTGTGCAGAATGTGATGAGCACCAGTTCCAAACATTTGCTTTGTTTAAAAAAGGATATTATGTAACCGTGCCAGCTAGGAAATGCAAGTTGCAAATTAAGAAGTGCATGGTAACTTAGGCAGAATGCAGAATTCAGTTTTGGGGAGCACAACTTGTCAGCTGGATGGATCCTGACTTTTCCTCAGCACTTGTGTAGTTCTGCATGTAAGGCTGCTCACCCACTGGGAAGCCAAAAAGCCTGATGAACTCTGGCTCTTACAGCCCACCCTCAGCAGCTGTAGCATGGCAAGATCTTAGGCCCACAGCCTCATTTCCACAGCCTAAAAATGGTAAAAACTGCCCCCAGAACTATTAAGCAGATCACAGGTATACTCACATGTGGGAGAATTTGAAAAGGGCATCAAAATTTATGTTCCTGTTGAAGACGTCCATTGTACTCAGCTGGCAGGTTGCTGAAACACTGTTGAAATACACAATCTGCAGAAAGGGAGAGGAAGATTACATCAGAAGACTTGGGGTGGTGCAGAAGCAGTTTCCCAAGAAGGACCAACTCCATGCTCCATGGTATCTGTGGACATCTAGAACCAAGTGCCTCCTGTCCGGCTGCTCCTATCACAATAGGCAGCACACCGCAGTCCACAGAGCAGGTCCAGAAGGACGCAAGGGCCCCACCCCTATTAAGCAGGGATATTTCACCAGCGGCAGCATCTCCTCAGGGCTCTTCTCTGTAAGTAAAAGGAACTTCCCTCTGCGAAAACTCTTATCTTTTTATGAGTTAACTAGAAGACAGAGTTGCTATTCCAGGGGAAGCACTTTGATATCGAAGTGGGCCTGAATTTCAGTCTATTTGGTCAGAGGCAAGGGGCCAAGTCACTGCAGACCAGGCAAGAAGCAGCTAATTAATCCTAGACTGCAGATGCTTCGGGAGGTTAGTTCCATCTGAAGGAAACATGTCTACTTGCTCCCACTGAGTCCATACGGGTCAATTACGACATCTCTTGCTCCATCCAGTCTTCTCTCTGGGAGAAAAATATCCAAATTTCTAACAGTTGCAGCTTTCCTGACATGCTGACAGCAAGATGATATCCAGAGATCTAAGACTAACTGAAAGACAGAGGCTCAGTAAAATGGCTATGGTATTCCACAGCAAAGGGACAAAGAACGTCGTCTATGCCAGACTCACCAACTCAAAACGAACACACCACCTGCAAGCGTATCTACTTTTGTCCTAGTCTAGAAGAGCCGGAGAAACTGCAACTGTTTTCACAGGCGCCCAAGTCTGCTTGGTATATATGGTGCAATTATTGCAGGCAGTTGCAAGGCTAACTCTAGGTTCCTGGGGGAAATTGGGATTCATAGGGGAACCTTGCTTTGCAACTTGGCAGCTGGAAAGTGCTCATATTAGCACCCCTAATGACCTCCCCAGGCAGGGATGGGGTGGAGTTAGAGCCAGGCAGCCCTCACAGCTATCTGTAAGAAAATGTGTTATTCTCAAGGTGGGATTCCCCTCTGTTATGCCCCATATTAATATGCACTGGTATTTTATCCACCCAGAAGAGCAAGCCTGATATGATCCCCCTTGTTCCACTCAGCATGCAATTCTGTCCTCTCCCTTCAGCCTGTGAAAAGCTATCATCATATCCTCTCTAGTCTTGTAATTAGCAATGTCTCCAGTCTCCTAGGTAGAAACCAGTTCAGCAAGCTCCTTCTCCTTCGACAGGCAAGGGGAGGAGCAGGCTAGGGGCAACTTTGGAAGACAGGCCTGGATTGGCTGGTCAGGAAAAAGAGCAAAGGTTCCAAGTCTACTGATCCATCCACTGGATGGTGTGACATGAGAGCCCTTCCTCCTTCAGGTAGGATTAAAGGCAGCACATCTGAATCTGTCCCCCAAAAGAAAGGGCTGTGGCTATTGTTGAATTTAGTTTAGTTGCCTGTTATGTCAAAGAAAGGAAGGAAGGAAGGGACACCCAACTTAATAGATTTTCTTGAGCTACAGAGTAAAGTTTGCCACTTTTGCTGCAGCTTTGTGAGATGGAGCCTTGGACTGGTATGGGAGGATGCGCACATATGCTCATGTCCAGGAATCATCTAGCCTGGCCTTGAAAGCCTATACCTGGGAGTGCAAACTGTGCACATGCCCACGATTCCAGCTACAGTATTCATGCCATTTCAAGATGCTTTTCAGCCAGGTTCATATTAACCCTGTCCTGGAATAGAGTTCAATCCAGCAAGCAGAAAATCAAGAGATTACATACACCTACCACCATCTTTTAAAGGAGCTTTAATTGTGAGGGTTCTGTGGATCCCAATGGGAAAGAAACTGCACTTCAAACCAGGACATCTTATGGTAACACCTTTATAAAAACTTGACCTGGGAAAGCCCGCAAGATATGGAACACGTGTCTTATTCAGGTGATGTCTGCTCCTACCAAGCTAATAGGGTTCAGGCCTAGGGTGTGAAAATAGGTCATGTTGGGGTGGAGGAATCTTGCACTGTGTCATGCTAAGCACCCACTCCTCTCAAATGCCAAGAGTTGTTCTAGGTAGAAGCTAAACTGGAACACCACAGCTAGAAAAATTATGATGATGACAATTACATTTTTATACCACCTATAAGTGAAGCTCTCTCTGGATGGTTCACAACTTTTAAGTCACCCATCCAGATGTCAATTAGGCCCGACCCTGGTTAGCTTCCAAGATTAGGCAGGATCAGCTACTCCAGGCTATACAGAAGCTTAATGAGGTTTAGGGTGCCCTTTCCATGGTGGTGGAAGAAAGGAACAGAAACTGGTTGTGTGATGCTGGTAAGCCTTCTGGCAGGCATCCAAGCCTGGGAAGTTTCACAGCCAGGAGAAATAAAGTGAAACAAGCAATGGCCTCGATGTTTCTTTTAAAGGAGCTTTAATTGTGAGGGTTCTGTAGATCCCAATGGGAAAGAAACTGCACTTCAAACCAGGACATCTTATGGTAACATCTTTATAAAAACTTGACCTGGGAAAGCCCAGTTTCTGGAACTAGGTGTAAAGCAGAAACATCGAGACTGAGGGGTAGGTATAAACAGGCAGTGCATCTCCAACAGAAGCCTCTCTAAGTTCTGAGAAGCATCTATAAGGTGCCCACCAGTGGCTGTGCTGTTTCAAGGCCCACATGAACCTGCTTGGAGATAATCTGTTCATGCTGTGACCATTACAACTCTTAGCTTAGCCACAATAGGCACATTAAATGGCCCTCATTTCCAAATCAGAATGTTTGTTCAGCTAGATCAGCCCCATTCATGCACACAGGCAGCAGCTCCCAGAATCCCAGGCAAACATCCTTCCCAGTTCTGCTGCCACAAGTGTTTAAGGTATCCAGGGGCTATATCTGGAACATCTTGCATACAGAGCATGAATTTTGCCTTTTTTGCTTTAGTTGCTATGTTGTGTCCGACCCTTCATGACCCTATGAACAACATTCCTCCTGACTCTCCTGTCCTCCACCATCGCTTGGAGTCCACTTAAGCTCACACCAACCGCCCCAGTGACCTCCATCCTAGCCACCTCAACCTCTGCCATCCCCTTCTCCTTTTACCTTCAGTTGATCCCAGCATTAGGGTCTTCTCCAGTGAGTCTTTCCTTCTCAGTAGGTGGCCATTTGAGTTTCATCTTCAGTATCTTACTTTCTAAAGAACAGTCAGGGTTGATTTTCTTTAAGATTGTCTGATTTGATTTCTTAGCAGTCCAAGGGACTCACAGGAGTCTTCTCCAGCACCACAATTCAAAGGGATCAATTCGTCAGCACTCAGTTTCCTTATGGTCCAACTCTCACAGCCATACATCACAACTGGAAAAACCGTAACTTTTACTATACAAACTTTTGTCAAGCAAGGTGATATCTACACTTTTTAGTATGCTGTCTAGATTTGCCATAGCTTTCCTCCCAAGGAGCAAGCATCTTTTAATTTCTTGGCTGCAGTCCCCTTCTGGTAGTTCTTCATCCACATACTGCTAGAGCCTAGCTTGTAGGATTTTGAGCATAACTTTGCTAGCATGTGAAATGAGCGCAATTGTTCAGTAGTTTGAACATTCTTTGGCTTTGCCCTTCTTTGGGACTGGAATGCAAACTGACCTTTTCCAATCCTGCGGCCACTGTTGAGTTTTCCAAATTTGCTGGCATATTGAGTGTAGCACTTTAACTGCATCATCTTTTAGGATTTTGAATAGCTCAGCTGGAATACCATCTCTTCCATTAGCTTTATTGTTGGTAAGACTTCCTAAGGCCCATTTGACTTCATACGCCAGGGTGTCCGGCTCGATGTCAGGCACCACCCCATCGTGGTTATCAGGCATGTTAAGACCTTTTTTGTATAGTTCTTCTGTGTACTCTTGCCACCTCTTCTTAATCTCTTCTGTCTCTGATAGGTCCCTGCCATTTTGTTCTTTTATCATGCCCATCTTTGCATGGAAGTTTCCCTTCATATCTTCAATTTTCTTGAAGAAATCTCTAGTCTTTCCCATTCTATTGTTTTCCCTCTATTTCTTTGCACTATTCTTTTAAGAAGGCCTTCTTATCTCTTCTAGCTATTCTCTGGAATTCTGCATTCAAATGGGTGTATCTCTTTCTCCCTTGCCTTTCACTTCCCTTCCCTGCCTCAGCTATTTGTAAAGCCTCAGACAGCCATTTTGCTTTCTTGCATTTCTTTTTCCTTGGGATAGTTTTAGTTGCTACCTCCTGTACAATGTTGTGAACCTCCATCCATAGTTCTTCAGGAACTCTGTCTATCAAATCTAATTCCTTAAATCTATTTGTTACCTCCACTGTGTATTCATAAGGAATATGATTTAGTTCATACCTGAGTGGCCTAGTCCTTTTCCCTACTTTCTTCAATTTAAGCCTAAATTTTGCAATGAGAAGCTCATGATCTGAGCCACAGTCAGCTCCTGGTCTTGTTTTTACTGACTGTATAGAGCTTCTCCATCTTTGGCTGCAGAGCACAGAGTCAATCTGAGTTCTGTGTTGACTGTCTGGTGATGCCCATGTGTAGAGTCATCTCTTGGGTTGCTGGAAAAGAGTGTTTGCTATGACCAGCTTGTTCTCTCGACAAAATTCTACCAGCCTGTGCCCCGCTTCATTTTGTACTCCAAGGCCAAACTTGCCTGTTTTTCTGGTTATCTTTTGGCTTCCCACCTGAGCATTCCAATCCTCCATGATGATAAGGTTTGGTGTTAATTCTAGAAGGTGTTGTAGGCCCTCATAGAACCAGTCAACTTCAGCCTCTTCAGCACCAGTGGTTGGGGCATAGACTTGGACTACTGTGATGTTGAATAGTTTGCATTGAATTTGAACTGAGATCATTCTGTCATTTTGCAGATTGTATCCCAGTATTGCTTTTCCTACTCTTTTATTGACTATGAAGGCCACTCCATTTCTTCTGAGGGATTCTTGCCCGCAGTAGTATACCTGACGGTCATCTAAATTAAATTCACCCATTCCTGTTC